GCCCCCTTGCCTCTTAGCGCCCCCCCCTAAGTCATCCCACTGCCCACTTTGGGAACCATTGCTCTAAAGGGAGATGAGAAAATTCTTTCTGACTCTTGACTTGTAAACTGTGTGGCAAATGCTGTGTAAAAGCCCTCCAGTGGACGTTAGTGGGGTATAAAGGCTTTGAGAGAGATTTGTTGTTGTTTACAATCCCAATGTGTTCAATTGGAGGCGTGGGCACGTCTGATAAGTGCCTTTGAGTCCAGAAGGATCTCCTTCCTTCTTTCAACCAGATGGCAAGAGAAATTCTTGAGGAGGAAATGGGGAAAACGCCAGGAACCTTCTCTCTGCAGACTTCAAGCATGCCCTGATAGGCTTGGAACTGTTTAACTATGAAGCAAATATTTTGTACAGGTACTCCTCCACTTACGACCACAAGTGAGCCCCAAACTTTCGTTGTTAAGTGAGATGTTTGAAAAAGTGAATTTTGCTCCATTTTGTGACTTTTCTTGCCTCCGTTGTTAAGCGAATTCCTGCAGTTGTTGAATTAGTAACACTGTCGTTCAGTGAATCTGGTTTTTCCCATTGATTTTGCTGGGTCGCAATAGCTGATCATGTAACCCCTGGACTCTATAACAGTCATAAATGCGATTCAGTTCCCAAGTCCCTGAATTTTGATCAGGTGACCATGGGGATGCTGTATCGGTCGTTAAGTGTGAAAAAGTGTTGCAAGTTACTTTTTTTTAGTGCTGTTCAAACTTCAAACGGTCGCTATATGAACCATTGTAAGGCGAGGACTACCTGTACTGTGAACTTTATAGACTTTTAAATGGAGGGATTACATCTTTCTGAGCTCAGGCCTTTTCAATGGTTAAATATGAAATATTTCCTAGCTGAGAGATTTTCTTCCTCTTCAGAATGGAATGGAATTCTCTTATGGAGTATTAAGGGGTCTTTTGACACTGCATTTAGTGGGGATAATATCAAAAGAAAGCAGTTTTTGTTGTTTTCCCCCTTTATTCTGTATCTTATTCTGTATCTTTATTCTCCTCTTTTGGGGAAAGACATTTTGGACTGAACGATGGTTGTCTAATACATAAAGTCCTATTGGTCTCAGACACGCCCTATCAACAATTAAAACACAGGTTGTCCTCAACTTACAACCACTGTTCAGCCCAAAATTTCTGTTGCTAAGTGAAAAACTTGAGGTCAATTTTGTCCCATTTTACAATATTTCTTGCCATATTTATTACGTGAATCATCGTAGTTGTTAATTATCGTTAATAACTATTGTTAAACAAATCTGGCTTCCTGGTTGACTTTGCTTGTCAGAAGGGCACAAAAGGAAATCACATGACCCCAAGATCCTGCAACCATCATATATATGAGTCAGTTGTCAAGCAGCTGAATTTGGATCCCGTGACCATGGAGATGCTGCACTGGTCTTCAGCGCCAGCGGAGGACATAAGTCACTTTTTTTCAGGGCTATTGCAGCTTCAAAGTGCCACTAAACGAATGCTTGTAAAGCAGCTATTGTTTGTTCTTGCGGTACAATCATGAATGTGTAGGAAGTTAGCCCACCCCTCTCCTAAAAAAAATGAAATATTGTGGGAAATGTTGAAAAGGCAGAGTATTATATTTCCCTGGATAAGAAATGGGTAAACATGTTTTTAGGCAGGAAACAGACTCACTCTTAATAGCCCCCACTTGTGTCAATGGGCCATTAAAATGCCCAAGCTAGTCTATTCTACATAACAAAGTTCCCCCCTCTTCCGCTCCAGAATGGTGAGATTAAGGCATGATAGTATTAGCCCTTTACCCATCTCACCACAGGACACCTGGGAAGTGGTAATGCTCAACCAAACCTGGACTCAAAACACAGCCTACAGAGCTGCCTGTGCATGGCCCCATGGGAGCCTGACAACCAATCAGAATACAAGCACAAATTTTAAGCTCAAGAGAGGGCATAAAACGAGGGTCTTTCAGCATCTCTCTCTTTTTCTTCTTCACCCAACATCTTGAAGGAGGTGATCACCTTTTTCCTGGCATCTCAAGCCATTTGACCCTGTCCACCATTACACCATCTTTCCAAGCAGGCTCCATGTTTCCAGTGTTTCCTCCCCACTTGGAACTGAACCCAGAAGGACATTTCTTCCAACAATTCTTAGTCATTTTAGGAGATACGCTGGAAGTTGAGATTGCCCTGTTAGGATCAGTGAATAAGGCAGCCACCTTCCCTTCTCCAATAACTGGGCTTCATCCCCTCCCTTTCTTCCGTTTCTCTGGCTGACTCGGGGTTGGACTAGAAGACCTCCAAGGTTCTCTCAACGCTGTTATTCTTTTAAAGGGCGATCCCCTCCCCTCTTCCCCTCCCTGGGCTTCGTCCCCTCCCTCTCCCCCCCCACCCGTTTCTCTGGCTGCCTCAGGCAAAGAAGCAATGGACTCGCTGCCCAGCTCACCAACCCAGCCCGGGGAGCGGGGAGGAGCAAGCAGGGGGATCCCCGACAGGACGACGCTCTCGGCCCTTTAGGGAATGGAAGGAGCTGGACGGAGAGAGGAGGAGCTATAAGAGCATCCAGCTTAGGCTCTGGAAACTTTT